GACGTTTCATTTCTCATCCAAGAAGCTTCTTCAGTTCTGACGTTCAGAACTGAAGAAGCTTCTTGGATGAGAAGCGAAATGTCTTCAACGAAAAACAAAGAATAAGAATAGAATAGTGCTGGAAGGGACCTTGGAGGTCTTCTAGTCCAGCCCCCTGCTCAAGCAGGAGAATCTATACCATCTCAGACAAGTGACTGTCTAGCCTCTTCTTAAAAATCTCCAGTGATGGGAGCGCCCACGATTTCTGAAGGCAAAGCTGTTCCACTGGTTAATTGTCCTCACTGTAAGAAAAGTCCAGTTGCCTCTTGAAAAAAAAAAACACCTTTGGGACACTCTGTGGCTATGATCAACAAATCATGGTTTTAAAAACTCTGGTTTAGCACGCTGCACCTTTCGAATTGTTATCCCCAGTTTCCTTCAGAAATGAAGGACAAAAGTCTTGTTCGGGCCAAGCATCCTAACAGGCGATGGGAGGTTTAAGATCATCCCTGAAAACAAAGAATAATTGGGAGAGATGTTAACATTGGAAGAAGGCTTCTAAGTGCTCTCCACCAATGGCATTTGCCTTACTGATGTCTCCAATGTTGGTAAGAGATGCAAAGGGGGAATTTTGTGAACATCTCAGGAATAAAGAAAGGCCACGGATCTTGCCTATTCTTCCGATCCTGTCTGAAATTGAAGATTATCCTGCTTCTCTTCATTCAGATCTACTAGCGCAGTTCCCACAGCAATTTTAGATAAGGCTGTTTCTTTTTGTCTTCAGATCCCCATTCTTGTAATAATGAATGCAGTATTAAAATCCGTGGTGCTTTATTTATTTAACCGTTTTTTTATTGTTGGAAGTGGCAGGTGTTGTTTTCAAGAAAGCCAGGTAGATTGGAGAACTGAAAGGAGCAACTGCATTTTTAAGCAACTTCACCGCTTTCTGATCCCTGACAACTAGTGTAGAAACACCACCTTCCCCTCCTTTAGGATTCCTCTGGAATTTTCTTGGTTTGTAAAATAAATTTATGAAGCAGGCTGTCTCTTAATCAGTTGGAATGGGCCTTGTCCCTAGAAGAGTAATAATAATAATAATAATAATAATAATAATAATAATAATAATAATAATAATAATAATAATAATAATAATAATAATAATAATAATAGTAGTAGTAGTAGTAGTAGTAGTAGTAGTAGTAGTAATAATAATAATAATAATAATAATAATAATAATAATAATAATAATAATAATAATAATAATAATAATAATAAAAAGTTGGAAGGGACCTTGGAGGTCATCTAGTCCAACCCCCCTGCTCAGGCAGGAAACCCTACACCATTTCAGACAAATGGCTGTCCAGTCTCTTCTTAAAAACTTCCAGTGTTGGAGCATTCACCGCTTCTGGAGACAGGTTGTTCCACTGGTTAATTGTTCTCACTGTCAGGAAGTTTCTCCTTAGTTCTAGGTTGCTTCTCTCTTTGATTAGTTGATTAGCTGTGGGTTGTCCATGGGAATTCTGAAGAGGAGAGTTTCTGCTCAGGAATGGTGGCAGTTTGAAAGATAATCCAGGTTTTTTTTTCATGGACATATTTCAATACATTTTGGGCAGAAACCCCTGCAGTTGGTATGGCAAGAGTTGGGTCATTCTCAACCTAACTAATTTTTTTTTTTTATTTTGACTGATGAAGTTGCTTGGATGAGTAACAAACCATCTCAGATTAACAAACATCGGTCCATTTGCCATGATTTTAACCTTTTTTAAGAGACCCAAGCTTTTGCCTTCCACTTCTGCAGCATCCATCCATCCGATATGATTTTAGACGTCGTTCGCTTCTCTTTAGGCTGATCTGGCGGTCGTTTCTTAAAGTTTGCATTTGCCCTGGTGAGGTTTTGTTGACACGAGGTCTTGGAGAACAGTTTAGCTATTATTCTTTAGGACGTTGCTTTTTGATTTCAGCCCTGCCCTTGCTCCGAATGAATTATTCAACAGCAATCCAGTGAAAGAGACATGTGAAACTTCCAAGTTTTCTCAAATTAGGTTTCTGTAGAAAAAAATGTGGTCATAAAAACCCACAACTTGAAATAGGGATTTTCCTAACCTGGGTTTGAATGTTCAGATTCAATAGTAATTGCTTGGAAAAACTTTTCTTTTGACACCAGCTTCTGTGTCGCAATTCAGGCCCTCTGCTCTTCCATCACACGTGCTTATTTGAGGAAATTACAGCATATTCTTCTCCCCTTGACCCCAGGGCCTATACTTTCATTTCTTCTGCTTTTAAATCTCAACATGCCGAGTCTCCCTTTATTTCTGAAGCAGGTTCTGAGAAAAAGCTTTCCCGCAAATGGGAGAACATGTGGCTTTCAGGAATCTAAGTGTGATGAATATAGACCCCCCCCCCAGTGGATGCAAGAGGCTGAGTTTCAGAGGAAACAAACACTTGTATTCAGTATTTCCTGAAATATAGAATGGCTAGCTCTGGTCTTCATGAGCTCGTCTACTTTGCAAATTCTGAGCCCCCCTGAAAACAACTGTGAAATACCACCAGGTTGGCTGTATTTGAGAGCTGAGATGATTTATTTCTGATTCAATTGTGGGATATTTGAAACCACAGTAAATGATTCTTTAAACTGCAGCAGCTTTGTGACGTTTGTGGGTAGTCTGTTTTCCAATTTGGAGGAACTTTATGTTCTGGCTTCAGGCCTTTGAAAGGGAAAAGTGTTTGTAGCTTTTCTGCTGTTCCTCATAGCAAGCATTGAGAGATGGATGGATGGATGGATAGATAGATAGATAGATACATAGATAGATAGATACATAGATAGATGATAGATAGATAGATAGATAGATAGATAGATAGATAGATAGATAGATAGATAGATAGATAGATAGATAGATAGATGATAGATAGATAGACAGACAGACAGAGAGACAGATAATATAGATAGACAGACAGACAGACAGACAGACAATAGAGATAGATAGATAGATAGATAGATAGATAGACAGACAGACAGACAGACAGACAGACAGACAGACAGACAGACAGACAGACAGACAGACAGATAGATAGATAGATAGATAGATAGATAGATGATCGATAGATAGATAGACAGACAGATAGATAATAGATAGATGATTGATAGATAGATAGATAGACAGACAGACAGATAATAGATAGATAGATAGACAGACAGACAGACAGACAGACAGACAGACAGACAGATAATAGAGATAGATAGATAGATAGATAGGTAGGTAGGTAGGTAGGTAGGTAGGTAGATAGATAGATAGATAGATAGATAGATAGATAGATAGATAGATAGATAGATAGANGCACATGATATGGAGTAAGGATATGGAAGGATGATTATATTTCTGCAAAACTGCAACATTTCTGCATTTATTCCCTTTTGAAGAGAGTGAAAATAAGGGGCAGCAGCTAGAAGAAGGACTATAATTTTTGCCCTCCAAACATTCTGACATTGGCATATTGGAAGACAATCATAAATCATTTTGAAACTCTTTGGAGGAATTGAAAGTGATGCTGGTGTACCCTGTTAAGCCATTGCTGGCTTGCTGAATAGGTCCCAATTTCTGAATTCAAATACTTTGCTAGGGCAGGTAAGAAGACGGTAACACCGTAAGAAGAACCTACAGAATCCAGATTTTGATCACGAAGATCCATTCTCTATTCTTGTCAGATTTTTCTGACATTTCCATTTGCACTAAAAAGTGAATTAAACAAAAAAAAAGGAGTATCTCTGAAAAACACGGGTGAATTGGTGGTGGTAATAGGAGCCTAGAAAGTGGCTTGACCGTAACGAGGAGAAGGAATAGAAAAATTAAAAAGGAGAAGTTTCAAAATTGAATCCAACTGCTTCTTATTCAGCATTTCTTATTTCCTCTTCCCAAACTGTCTAGCCTTTCTGAGTTGAGAGACTATAGAGCAAATCAACCGGACAAAGAGAAGAGGGAAGATAAGAAGAAGTCCTGTCCGTCTCCAACCCTGGGCACCTCCGGGCAAGCTGTCATCTCTCTGCTCACTCCTGAAGAACTGGAGAAGCTTCTGGAGGAGGTGAAAGCTTTGGATGAAGCAACGCTAAAGGCAAGTCCCTGACATTCTCAACTTTTCCAATAGCTTCTCCTAACCAGGAATCTGTGGGTGTTTCATACAACAATCCTTATCACTCTCAACCAGCTGAGCCAATAGTATCAGCAAGATGGACTACTCTGTCCATCCGTCCGTCCATCCATCCATCCATCCATCCATTCCCTAGCACTGATTCATTTATACAGGGAGGGGCTGCATTTTCACTTTTGAAGCAGAAGCTGAGAATGAATATTTCAGGAATGCTTTAATACTTGCAGTATTCAGAATCTTCTTTTTCTCACCTCACCCTCTTTATATTATTATTATTATTAATAATATCTTTTATTCATTAAACATGAACCTCAGTCAACTGAACATTCAAATTGGCTGGCGCTGATGGTTGACACGGGTTGCTGCCAGCATCCTAGGTATCAACCAGGTACCTCCTTAAAATAGAAGATGTTCCGAGTAACGCAGTTTTTTTGTAATGTTGCTGGAGTTATTGCAGGAAGCTGCAGTTTCTTGATGTATTTTATTATTATTATTATTATTATTATTATTATTATTATTATTATTATTGATGATGATGATGATGATGATGATGATGATGATGATGATCACATAGTCAGCCAGATGTTCAGACTGGATTTGGCATTTTTGTCTACCTATCGAGTCCTTACCAAGGACCTGGGATAGGCAGATGTGGATGTTTGACGGTATTATAGATATCGTCGCAGGATGGAAGCAGTTCCTAGTAAGGCCGCCTTTTGCAATTGACTAATGGCGAATTTGTCAATGCCAATGGTGTTCAAGTGGTGCTCCAGTTGTTTTGGGATTGCACCCAAGGAGCCTATTACTATTATTATTGTTTATTATAATTGTTGTTGTTGTTGTTGTTATTATTATTATTATTATTTTGCTTTGCACAGCAACTCAATGACATTCATGTGACGATTCTCCATAAAGAAGAAGGGACTGGCCTTGGGTTTAGCTTGGCTGGTGGAATAGACCTTGAAAACAAAACTGTTGTCGTAAGTAATCTGCTAGGTGGGTTATTTTACGGAGGCGCTTCTCGATAGATCAAAAACCCTTTGTGAGAATAGCTTCAGTTCCCATCTCATATGGATTTTTTCATAATCCAAAGAAGGCTGGAAGCCCAGTCTCTCCATTCCTATTTCAGCACTCCCACTACTATACTATACCAGGTCTTCATCTTGTTGCACATAATGAAATTTAAACCAGAGAAAGTAAAATCACATTCTGTATTATCATATTAGTCTGCCTCCCTTCTTTTTTCTTCCTTTCTTCCTTTTTACGTTCTCCTTTACAGGAGAACAATTTTCCCGCTTATTTTCCACCACGTAGACAAATTCAAAAACTTTTCTGTTTCTAGGATCCTGTCTGTCTTTTAAAAGGAAAGAAATCCCCACAGTATTATTTTATTAGCGCTGACAAGAACGTTATAAATCAATCCTCTTTTTAAATGGAACTAAGGCTTAATTTGCTGATGCCCTCCACTTCTCAAACTCTATAGTGCAATTAAAAATAAAAAATAAATCTCACCCAGCTTACTTCTCAAGATGCAAACGAAAAACCGGTAAGGAAACTTCTTCACGACGTGTCTTTCCCTCTTTCGGAAATTTGTAACAGGTTCACAAAGTCTTCCCCAGTGGTCTAGCAACGCAGGAAGGAACTATCCAAAAAGGGGATGAGGTCTTATCGATCAATGGGAAATCTCTTAAGGGTGCCACTCACACCGAAGCCCTGGAGATCTTGCGAAAAGCGCGGCACCTCGGGCTGGCAGTGATTGTCACACGAAAGCCCAAAGAGAGACAATGGAGCACCAGTGGGCCCCTTCAGTCCTCAGTGTCCACAGGAAGCGAAACGTCCATGGATTCCAGTGAGTCCGAGTATTGACAACGGGAAAGGAATAAGTGTTGGGGGTGGAGAAGGGCATTCAAGATGAAATCTATGCACAGATGGTACCTTGATTTAGTTTTGGGTTCTTCAATAGAAAATATTTCAGAATAATCTAGGGAAAGAAGGTGGTGTGGTGGAGGAAGAAATATTTGTGTAGAATTAGGCAAGGGGGGGGGAGTGGGAACAGACTGGGCATTTGAGAGAGAGAGAGAGAGAGAGAGAGAGAGAGAGAGAGAGAGAGAGAGAGAGAGAGAAAAGAATCATAAGTAAGTCTTTCCACTGGACATTGGTTAGGAGGGTTGAGGTAATTCTGTACATTTTGCGTGATTCTTCCAGGGCACAGTGGGCAAATAAAGGTTAAAGTTTCCAGTGCACAGTGATTGAGAAGGGTTAGGATTTGAGAAGGGAGGAAGACCCCAAGATTTTAGGATGTTCTCCCTTTTAGAACTGGGCTGTGCCCGTTTGTGGACTTCCCTTAAACGTTTCAAGTTTCCCATCTCTAAATGACATGAAATTCTGCTCCCTAGATTTCAGCAATTTAGTTCTATGCTGGGCCACTAATAGGATCTCAGAAAGTCAGTTTAGGGCAGGGGTCTTCAAACTTGGCCCTTTTATGACTTGTGGACCCCTGCCCTAAACTAACTTTCTGAGATCCTATTAGTGGCCCAGCATAGAACTACCTGTACTAAACTGATGGTTTTCCATAGCACCGTGCCATGCTATAGATTTTTACTAACAAGACTCACCCCCCCTCTAATAACGTTCTGCTTTGACCCAGCACCAGAAGATCTGATCTTCACAGTTACCCTGGAGAAGACATCTGCAGGCTTAGGTTTCAGTCTGGAAGGAGGAAAAGGCTCCATTCATGGAGATAAACCAATCACCATCAGTCGGCTTTTTAAAGGTATGGTGGATTGGTGGCGGTGAAGCTTTTGCGTGAGTTGAGAGTCGGTGCTGTCGCTGGTTGGCTGTGTGGTTGTTTTGAATTCTGAGGGGTTCGTAGGCTGGTTGTGGGTCAATGTGTCTGTTGATGGAATTGCTTGAGGAGTGCCAGGCTGTGATAAACTTGTGAGCGTGGCAGGTGGTAGCCTGGCTGATTATTTTTGTGTTGCTCCAGTCGAACTGTACTGCTTTACTGCTTTCCTTCTCTGGATATCCACGAATGACAAATGTGTATTTTGATCTCTCTCACGCCCTTACCCTCCCATGCCTCGCTAACACCACACTTTGCATCTTCCAGGCGTGACACCCCAACACAACCCCCCTATTCAGCCTGGAGATGAGCTGCTGCAGGTGCACACCCATCTGATGCAAGGACTCACTCGCTTTGAAGCTTGGAATATCATCCGGACCTTGCCAGATGGGTTTATTACTGCTACCATCCGGAGGAAAAATTCAGTGGCTGGAACAGCTTCCTCTCTCCGTGGAGAGGAATAGTGACCGTGACAGTGATGGTCACAGTGCTCAAAGAGATCTGGAACTGCTATGACCCAAACTAGAGACTCATGCCTTGCCTGTATCACCTACTCTGCAGCTGATTCAACTGCCCGTGTTCTTTGCTCGCCAAGGGAATGCCAGGAAAGGCAGAGACAAGGAGGCCAACGTAAACAGCTTGCTTGTTTGTGTTTGCAGTGTTATTAAAAGTTCCTGTGGTGAGCTGTGCCCGAATTAATCAAGGATTTTGCCCAAAGCAAAAGGGCAGAACCATGAAAGAAGATTTGATGGCAAAGGAGATAGCGGGATTAATTAACTGGGCCTTGATTGCCTAACAAGCATTAAAGCGGATGCAGGAGCTCAGCCCGTGGAGATCCATTGCAGGATCTGTGGCTTTCTTTGACGCAACATGGAGGGTGTATATCTTGACCATTCCTGGGATTACAGTGTGTGTGTGTACATTTCCATCCCTGGGAAAGCACATCTCTCTCACTTTGGACTGGCTGTAGATTGTCCACTGCTGGATCAGGAAAGCCCGATTTAGCTACATTTTTACCTGTTCCTCCAATAAAGTATTGTTCTTTTAATCATGTTACATTTACTTACAATTATCTCTCTCCCCCAGCTAAGAACTCGGTTCAGAAATAGCTGCTGCAAGCTTCACTCCAAGCAGAGACAAGAACAACAGTGACATTAAAGCACCCTTTTTTTAATCTCTAATGTATAAAAGCACATCAGAACAACCCATTATGGTTTAGAAAATATTATTGCCTAAGATCAGTAGTCATCTGGAGCAGGTATGGAGAGTTTGTGAAGACAGAAACATGGAACAGACACGCTTTCAGAGGTCCTTCTCTCTAAACAGGATCTACAGCGCAAACCTGGCTGATGTTTATCTTAGTTTCTTGTTAAATCATCGTCTCTGACAACCTGCTGTTCTATAATCAACCAAAATTTACCATAACCACATTTTTCCTCATGCTTAAGAGTTTCATACGCTTGAATGTTTCTGTGCATAAACATCTCTCTTCCTACAGAAGGCTTATAAGTCAGGATTTTTTCCCCCTGCTATGCAGGCTAAAATGCAGGCAGATATTTGTTATTTCTATGGTATGGGAGGAGAACATATGAAAAACAAATGTGGTTTCTTCAGAGTCTTTTTTTCACTTCAGCAGGAACTGCCTCTTTGGCTCAAAGCAGCTAGACCACATGAAAGGAACTCTTGATAGGCACCTGGGTGGAGATTTAAACTCAGGAGCTCTGAGTGATGCTGTCATCATTGTGAAAGATAAAGCAAGGCATGGAATTTGGCAAAGACACAGCATCAGATCTTCTTATTTGATTTTCCAATTTACAGTGAATTGCTGTCCAACTGTTTCCTGTTGAGGTGTCACTGTCTTTGAAAGCCTTTCTTGCAAACCAAAACCTGGAGGGATTCATTTCTTTTCAGAGTCCTCAGCAAGGTCAGACCACAGCAGTGTGAGTAAAATGCTATTTAATTCTACACCTGGGCTCACAAGCTCTCCATCTAAATTAAGGAGAAATTCATGTGCATCCTTTTGAACAGATCGGGAACCACACGTGCCTTTGCAAAGTGCAGCCTCAGTATTATTAAGATACAGCCCAGCTACGTTTTCCATTTGTGACTAGAGGTGGGTAGGTGGGGGGAATGGGGAACAAACTTAGGCCACTAGTGAGACAGCTGCATTAGCCAAATTCCCGTAAAACGCTGTTATGCTCTTTGGAAAGAAAGCTTCAACGATTTTCTGTGGGAGGTTCCCACTCAGATCAGTCTGAAAGAAACTGAGGAGGCGGGTCTTGTTTGGATCCCTGCAGAGAAAACAACAACAACAAAAAGAAGAGAAAGCAATTGGGTGAAAATGGCATATACATCTCCAATGAGAACCAGTTTGATACAGGTGCAGAAGAAAGCGTGAGAAAAACCTAATTGTTAATCCTCCTTTAGGCACGAAGCCAGCTGTGTGATTCAATTCCAGGAAGGTGGTCTTGTGAAACCACTTCCAAAAATGTTGCCTAGAAAACCAACATCAACTGCCCAAGTAGTCTCCAGGAATCAAGGGTGACTGGGAAGACCATAACAGCAATATATCTCAGCCAACAGGCAACGAAAACCAAAATCTTACCGGAATGGAATCATCTTGCCAATCTTTATGGCCCAAACTGGATGCTTTTACAAAGCTTCTACCGTAAAGAAGGAGATGGACCAAGCATCTCCACATAAAGGACACTCTGCTGTTTTCACACAGTGCAGGGTTTGTTTAGATGAAAAACAGCCAGCAATGGATCGTTCCACAAATTGTGGCAGTCTGCCTCTCTGCTGTTTCTCTTTATTTTTCTTTCATCTGATTCTTTGCCCTTTTCAACACTGATTGTAGTTTACTTGGAAAGGAAACGGTAAGATGTAAGTTGACCAAGTTGCATCTTCATTGACAAAGAGAAGCTACTGTGCCTTCTTAAGGGACATAAAAGACAGGTGGCTGTGGACCAGGATTTTGCTTGGAAATGTGGTAGCAAGTATTGGAGGATTAGAGATGATACTATGGAGACACGTCTATGCTTACTATTAAATATTGGTTTGTTAGGGACATCATTTCGTAATGGATGGCTCCCATCATTTCCATTATTTTGTGGATAGACACGTTTCTCCATTACTGCCCTATTACAAATGGGCAATCATCACCATGGCAGCTGTTTTATGAATGAACAGCGTTCCTCATCATGACAGCACCCCAATGCACTCCCAAAATTCTGGAAATGTCCTCTCCTGACCTTAAGGAAACAGTTAAATGCTTAAGCAGGCCATATTTCTTTTCCCAATGCCTCCTTTTCATATTCATATATTTCTACAACTTCCACATGCCAAGGACCACGCCTATTAGCCTAAGTTATTTTATTCCATAATTGACATGATAATGAGATATGCCTGATGCTGTCCTCATACCAATGGCATGAGTTGAGATATTGCATCAAATGTGCTTACTATTTTGTAATTGTAATTGTGGGATTGCATGCACATGTCCAGATGGGATCATCAAGAAATATTATGCACGGTTCCTTTTCCTCCTCAATATATATTTTTTTTCTTTTCATCTATTAGCTGGCATGCTTCTGCACTATTAGAAGGAAACAGAAGCTGTATTTTTGAGGAGGCAGCATCCATAATTCATTTCCAAACTATATCAATCTCAGCAACGTGAGTTTCTAATTAACTCACGTATGAACCAGTTGTCCAATTGGCTTTTAATGCAAAGTATAAAGCCTACATATTTCTTTCTTATTTATTTGCCAAATTTATCTAGCTGCCCATCTCAGATTGTGACTCTTGATGGCACACGACAAAACAAACAACACCCATCTTGAATAATTATTAAATTTACATAAAGCTGGCCACTTCCTGTAGAAAAACTACCTCCCTCAAACTGTAGGGTGCTGCTTAAAATCTAATTTGGCAGCAGCAACAGCAAAAGGTGTGTTAAACCCTAAAGCATTCTTGGCCTAACAGGGTCGTGTCGTCAAATATTTCCAATTTTTTCTTACCCTGGAACAGGATTGAGGAAACAGCCGCAGGGGAAATTCAGGCCTCTGACGTAATTGGGCTGAGGCGGACTAAGGCGATGCTCCACGTTGGTTGCTATGAGGGAGGAACATTAAAAAATAAAAATTGAGATTCTTATCAACTGGGGTTTCCCTAGATATATAGATATAGATGTATAGATGTAAATATAGATATATATAGATGTAGATAAAGATATAGATATATAGATGTAGATATATAGATGTATAGATGTAAATATAGATATATAGATGTAGATAAAGATATATAGATGTAGATATAGATATATAGATATAGATGTAGATAAAGATATATAGATGTAGATATAGATACATAGATGTAGATATAGATATAGATATATAGATAGATATAGATATAGGTGTGTGTGTGTGTGCGTGTATAGCATGTGTATATGTGTGTTATGTATGTATATGGGTAGATGTATACTTTCTTTTGAGAGTAGGCAAGAGAATTTCATTTTTAATGGGCGACAGTGTGCTCACGGTAAAAAACGACAATAATGTTTATCTCATATTACTTGACAACAGCATGAGAATCAAAGATAAGTTTGGTTGCCAAAGCTAACTTGGGTCCCGATTCTCAGAAAAAGAATGCTCCAATGGTCTTGGGTCACTTTATCAGTTCACTGATGGTCACACACAGTGGTCACAGTTGAACGGTCACCTTGGCTGCAAGCCAGCCCCAAGAAAACCAGTGCCCCAAAGATTTGAACCAGCTTACCAGCAGTCATTTTTGAGCCGTCCTCGTTCTGTTGGATCAGGACCACGTCTAAGAACTCTCTTGGGGAGATCAGATTCATAAAAGCCGAATGGGTGGTGGTTCTCAGGACACAAACGTTCTGAAATTGCACACAGCGGTGGCAAGGATATTTAAGAACTCATCTCAATCCAATGGCAAAGCTAACAGTATACTTCTGCACAATAGAAGCTTAACTAAATTGAACCAAGAATGTTACCCATATATCATGGTATCCAACCCATCATACATCGTGGTAAATATAAACATAGACTGGGTTTTAAGGGGCACTGGGTGATCATAAATATCACAAATTAGCAACTGTATAAAAAAGGCTGAGTCAGAAACCAAAGGTTCTTCTTCTCTGTCTCCTTCTCCTTTCTCCCCTCTCCTCTCTTTCTTTCTTTCTTTCTTTCTTTCTTTCTTTCTTTCTTTCTTTCTTTCTTTCTTCTTTCTTTTTTTCTTTCTTTTCTTTTCTTTCTTCAGTAATTATGCATACCCAACCAGTGTGTTTGCAGTCTCAATGTCAGTAGATAGCCAGTCAGCCACCCACCACAGTTTTAGCACCATACAAAGAGACATCAATGCTTCCACCATTCCCTACATCCCAAAACATAATGGGGATTCCTTTTCTTTCCAGTTACCCTACAATAGCCAGGGCTGGCTCCCAATAGCACCTTACTTTCCTAGCTGTCTCTGGCTATAAGTAAAGGCATGTTATACTTACATTGTTTATGGATTCAACAACCAGTAGTTTGTTCACGTTGTCATCCCATTTTTCTCTAAGTCCACCAGTCTCTGGCTTGATACATTTAAACACGTCCTCTGGCTTTGCCGCTAAAATTCCTTCTGCCCTGTATCTTTTGAGAGAGGGAGGAAGAATGGGGAGAAAATCTTAGTGAATGAAGTAGAAGGGTGCTATTCCAATCAAATTGCATTTTGAGTGTCCTTAATAAATGGAGCCAGTTAAGGTGTTGGCTTAGAAACCAGGAGACTGGGAATTCTAGTGCCACCTTAGGTAAAAAAGCTACTGGCTGATTTGGGCCATGCATTTTCTCTCAGCCCAACTCACTTCACAGAGTAGTTAATGTGGGGAAAACAGGAGGACGAAGGAATAGTAGCTATGTTCACTGCCTAGAACAGTGGTGGCGAACCTATGGCAAGTGTGCCAGAGGGAGCCCTCTGAGCCCTCTCTGTGGGCACATGTGCCATTGCCCCAGCCCAGGCACAGCCCGCATGGAGCAGCGCAGCCAAGGACATGGCAGCCGGACAGTGGGAACAAGTCTCCGCCCTCGCGCCCCATCCCGCGCAGGGATGCGGGCGGAGGGCGTGGCCACCACGGCGCTGCTGCAACGGGCCACGGAGGTGGTGGGTGGCCCTGTGGGCAGGCAGGGCGGGTTTTGGGCAGTCGGTCTCTAAAAGGTTCGCCATCCCTGGCCTAGAATTACATACAAAGTAATAAAGGTGCGATAAAAATCAAACAGAATGTACCTCTGCATGTAATACACTGGCATTCCAACAATTTGCCTGCTTTTTAAATTGCGAGAAAATGTGTTTGTTTTATACAGAACACCAAAGAAAGTAGCACCTCACCTGAGCAAAATGCTCAGTTACTTTAATAAATACACACTATAGTTCTGTATTTCATCATATATAAGCTTTCTTGGGACTGATGCATTTCTATATCTTTGGGACAAGTCATATTTTATAAGATCAGCTATTTATAACTGTATGACGCAGCCAAGCAGTTTGCATCATATCTTACATTACATAATATTCTTCTTTATCATGAACTTTGGAACTTTTTTCTCCAAAGAAAAAAATTAAATAACAAAGCCTATGATCGGTATGTTGGACATTTACTTGGTTAGAAGTCTCTTTTCTTCTCTTCCATTACTGGAACCTTCACCTTTTTGTGCTTCATCTACCAGCTGTTGACTATGTTATTCCCATTTTAAAAGCATAGAACTAAAATTAGCAATAAATAAGACAGAAGTGGCATCTCAGAGATCAATTTATGCCCCTAGAACTTTACCCAAATGTTGTTTTTGCTTCTGTAATTTTACTTACAGGTTTCCACAAAACACAGTTGAAGGTCTCCAAGATATTGTAACATTATTCTAGAAAGACATTTAAAAAAAAAATAATCAGATACAATCAGCTGCATTATTGCTGCGCACTGAAACGGAATGAGGTTTTATTCAACCTTAACGTTTATTTTTTTAATACGTTAAGAATAAATTTTAGGGAAGTAAGAGACTAAAGCAACAACAAAAACCCACAAGGTTGTCTCATGTCAACTAAAAAATGAACAAATTTGCTTCAAGCAACTAGATTTTTCATTAGCCATAATAACTAACTTTCCCCATTGCTTTCAATGGGCCTTCTTTAAACATGAGTAATTCTGGAGTTAGTTCAACTGTTTCTGTTGAAACTGAAAGTTGTTTAGTAAGCCGGTTCTGAAGTGAATCCAGTTTTCCATTGACCTGGTCAGAAGGTCGCCAAAGTTGATCACATGACCCCAGGTCACTGCGACCATCATAAATCTGAGTTCTGATCACTGAATGTGGGGATGCTGTGATAGTCATAAGTGTGAGAAACGGTCAGAAGTCACTTTTTTCAGCGCCGTTTGTAAACTTCAAGCGGCCACCGAAGGTGTGTGAAGTCTTGGACTACTCGTATCCTTTTGCAATATTGGTGGACGTTAATCCCAAATAACGACACAGTATAATAATAATAATAATGATAAAGTTGGAAGGGACCTTGGAGGTCATCTAGTCCAACCCCCTGCTCAGGCAGGAAACCCTATACCATTTCAGACAAATAGCTGTCCAGTCTCTTCTTAAAAACTTCCAGTGTTGGTGCATTCACCGCTTCTGGAGGCAGGTTGTTCCACTGGTTAATTGTTCTAACTGTCAGGAAGTTTCTCCTTAGTTCTAGGTTGCTTCTCTCTTTGGTTAGTTTCCATTCGTTGCTTCTTGTCCTGCCTTCAGTGTGGGCCAGTCGTGCGTTCTCAGCCCAAGACAACTTGGAGGATTATTGTTGTGTGGGAAATAGGAGGAGGAGGAAGGCGTTTTAGGTGTGTTTGCCACATTCAATTACTTCAAAAGATGGGATAAAAATCTAATAATAACTAGGAGACCTCAAGTTCTAGTTCTGCCTTAGGCACAAAACCAGCTGGGTGACTTTGGGCCAGTCCCTCTCTATCAGCTCTAGAAAGGAAGTAACGGCTAGCTACCTCTTGGGGGAAAAAAAAAAACCCTTGCCAAAAAAACCTGCAAGTACTAGTCCAGGCAGTTTCCAGGCACAAAGGAAATTTTAAAAAACAACAACAATAAACAATAACTCACACATTTTGATGGCCTTGGGATGCTTATCGGAGACATAAAGAGCAAGAAAGGAGCTCCACGTTATAGTCCAATTCTGACTATCCCTAGAAAATCCTAGCATTGAAATGGTGCTTTTGGGGAGTGATCTTATCAGAAATAATAATAATAATAATAATAATAATAATAATAATAATAGTAGTAGTAGTAATAATAATAATAATAGTAATAATAGTAATAATAGTAATAATAATAATAATAGTAAAGTTGGAAGGGACTTTGGAGGTCATCTAGTCCAACCCCCTGCTCAGGCAGGAAACCCTATACCATTTCGGACAAATGGCTGTCCAGTCTCTTCTTAAAAACTTCCAGTGTTGGAGCACCCACAACTTCTGGAGGCAGGTGGTTCCACTGGTTAATTGTTCTAACTGTCAGGAAGTTTCTCCTTAGTTCCAGGTTGCTTCTCTCCTTGATTAGTTTCCACCCGTTGCTTCTTGTCCTGCCTTCAGGTGCTTTGGAGAATAGCTTGACTCCCTCTTCTTTGTGGCAGCCCTTGAGATATTGGAACACTGCTATCATGTCCCCCCTCGTCCTTCTCTTCATTAAACTAGACATACCCAAAATAACATATTTTTTCCCTTTGAAAAGTCTCTCTCTCTCTCTCTCTCTCTCTCTCCCTCCCTCCCTCCCTCCCTCCCTCTCCTTCCCAACAATCAATACTGTGTTTTGATAAGTCCTCACATGCATCCATAACAGCCTGGGGGTAACTTTCACCATCTCTTCTCTTCCAAACTACTGGGATGGAAAGAAACAACTTGGCAAAAAGGAAAGTTGGAAGGAAATGGGTCCCTTTCCAAAGCCTTACAGATGGAAAAATAAAGACAGCTCTTTGAGGGGCTTTCCTCCTCACCATTCCTATGTCCCAAATTCTACTTAAAACCTCTTCTCTAGATGTCACATATTGGATGGAGCAGTTCTGTGGCAGTCTCTTTCTGGAAACAGTCTGTGGTTTTTTCCTAACACAACCCCTGAATCTTTTACAAAATATCCAATTGCATATAGACAAGTTGTTGTTGTTGTTGTTGTTGTTGTTGTTGTTGTTTTGAGACTTGCTTGACTCCTGCTAACTTCCTGAACATATCCCTCTGGCTTCCAGGAAAAAAAAAATCCCCATCCCCAGCTTTTAATTTTTGCACCAAGTGCTAGAGCAAAAAAGAAAGATCTATATGCATTGTGTAAAATAAAGTATGCATCTGCCTCTGCCTAGAGCAGAGGTCCCCAATCTTTTGGGCACCAGTTTTGTGGAGAGAGGTTTTCCCGCGGACCGAAGGGTGTGTGGTTTTGTGTGCTGCCTGCATCCCGTGGACGGGGCTTTGCTTGTTTGTGTGGACCGGTTGCTGGCATGCTGCGGCCTGGTACTAGTCCAAGGATGGGGGTGGGTGGGTGGATGGGTGGGTTGGGGACCCCTGGCCTAGAGATTCAGTTCTGGAATCTAGCAAAGGCTGATCCAATTCAGGCTGTTGGTTCATCCAGCTTAGTATACTGACAGTTGCTGTATTGGGAGATGATGGGAAAATAAATCCTTTTTATCGAATACCTGCGTGTCTGCCCCCCCCTTCCAGGATCATCACTTAGCAGTAAAAAGATCCTAGTGTCTTTCTTTTCTGTCCTGCAAACCCTCCCCCAGACTCCCAAAACAGGACAGCTATTAAACGGCAGTCTAGACCAGTGATGGCGAACCTTTTAGAGACCGAGTGCCCAAACTGCAACCCAAAACCCACTTACGCATCGTCGAGTGCCGGGTGGGTGTGGCCCATTGGCTGGGTGTGGCCAGTTGGGTGGACGTGGCCCATTGGGTGGGCGTGACTGCGGTGGTAACGGCAGACGGTGGGACTAAAAAGTTCAATCAATCAATTCCAACTTTGCAAGATCTATTTTTTCCCCGCGAGAAGTTGAAATTGACTGATTGAACCTTTTTTTTTTTTTTTTGCACATGGCGGCGGAGGCCTAAAGCGAAAAGGTTTATAAAACCCATTTGAAGGCCTAGGACTGGGGCGACGGCGCGTGTGCCCACAGAGAGGGCTCTGAGTGCCGCCTCTGGCACCCGTGCCATAGGTTCACCACCACTGGTCTAGACTCTCTAAAAGGCCAATGAAACTCCAGCTGTCCAGATTTCACCTTTTCAAATATTCCCAGCGGGAAAGGAGATACCGGAGGAAGCAAGTGGGGAGTCGCCGAATCGCTTTAGATCACTTTAGATCCCAGGGGAGGGAAAACAGGTTCTCCCCTGCCGATTAAAGAAAAGAAGAAGAAAAAAAATCTAGCAAAACCAGCAGGGGAAGAGCCGGAGCTGATTTTCCAGCTTCCAGTGCAGCTGGCAAAACTGCTTTGACAAGCGAAATAAGCGGCGCGTAAAAGCAGTAGTATTTAATACTCAATGAAGAAGTTAGGATCTTTGGAGGTTGGGTCCTGCCTGCGGTCCAGAGCGATGGGAACAGCTCCGGGTGTCCCCCCTTCCTCTTAAGGAGAAAGGGGCGCCTTGCCTCGGCCCCTCAAGGGGGAAAATCGGTGGGTCGAGGGGTCCCCCCTTCCCCTCCCCTCCCCCGCCTACCGCTCGCTTGAAGCCGCTCCAGCCGCTGGGGTCCTTCCGGTAGCTCTCCAAGTGCTGCGCTGCCCATTCAGCAGCCTTCTGGTACTCCATGGCGAGAGACGCTGACGCGCTCCCGGCTGGCGTGGGAATGGCTGGCGGTGGAGGAGGAAGAGACGGCAGAGCAACTTGCTAAGGCCGGCCCAGAAAAAAAGGGCCGGCCTCCCTTTGGAGCCCCGCCATCCTTGCCCGGAGGAATCAGCGCGGCGCCGCCTCCTCCTCTCGCTTCTCCCAACACGCGCGCACGCGAAGGCTCGTGAGAATGGAGGGTTCGGGTTGGGAACGGCGAAAGACGAGAACTACTGCCTATTAGTTGCGCTGGTGGGAAGCAGATGCTGTTGTACACCCGCTGTCAACTTGGTGCCGTGGACGGTAGGGGCGATGGATGGATGGATGGAGGGATGGAGGGATGGATGGAGGATGGAGGAGGAGGAGGAGACGGGAGACCAACTTGTTAAGACCAGCCCAGAAAAAGGGCCGGCCTCCCTTTGGAGCCCCGCCATCCTTGCCCGGAGGAATCAGCGCGGCGCCGCCTCCTCTCGCTTCTCTCAACACGCGCGCACGCGAAGGATCGTGAGAATGGAGGGTTCGGGTTGGGAATGGCGAAAGACGAGAACTAAGTGCTGCCTATTTAGTTGCGCTGGTGGGAAGCAGATGCTGTTGTACACCCGCTGTCAACTTGGTGCCGTGGACGGTAGGAGCGATGGATGGATGGATGGATGGATGGAGGAGGAGGAAACACGTGTCTTTTCCTCAGATTTTGTCTGCAGATGCCTTTCCAAGCAACCAGGTGCTTCAGGACAAAAAAGTGGCTTTAACCATCTTTTCACCTTTAACAGGTGGTTTGTTTTTCTCTTGTGAGAATAGGGCAGAAGGTAAAAACCCTCGCGAGAATTAGATTTGGGTTAATAAAATTGTTAAATTAATTGCTTAAGGCAGTGTTTCTCAACCTTGACAATTTTAAGGCATGTGGACTTCAACTCCCAGAATTCCACAGCCAGCATTGCTGGCTGTGGAATTCTGGGAGTTGAAGTCCACATGCCTTAAAATTGTCAAGGTTGAGAAACACTGGACTTAACGCTTAAGGTGCTGGCCTAGAAACCAGGAGAGAGTGACTGCTAGTTCTGACTTAGGCGTGAAAGCTGGCTGGGGGACTTTAGGCCAGTCTTTCTCTTTCAGCCCAGCCCACCTCACAGGGTTGTTGTGGAGAAAATGGGAGGAGGAAGGCGTATTGGGCATGTTCACTTGCCTTGAGTGACTTGTAAAATAAGAAAGGCGAGATAAAAATCCAATCGACCAATCAATTCAAGTTGGTTATTTAACCACATGCAAACTGTTGCTAGTTAATAGTTTATTTAATGTCTGGAGTGAGCAGAGTAATGTAACTGAACAACAGAGAAAGCAGCCCCTGTTCTGGGAAGCTGGCCTGCCATTGCCAGAATCCATTACTTAAATCAAGGGTCTTCAAACGTGGCCCTTTTATGACTTGTGGACTTCAACTCCCAGAATTCCTCAGCCAGGCACAGGAATTCTGGGAGTCGAAGTCCACAAGTCATAAAAGGGCCAAGTTTGAAGACCCCTGACTTAAATGCACCGAGATTCAATGGGTGGGATCAGTTTCTTCTCTATGATTTTGAATGGTCATTACTACAGTCCAATTTTAGAGCAAAGATACTTTAGCCCATGAATAAGCAAGTAGAGAGAATGTCACAGGAATGGAACTACTCAACATTCATCCTCAAGTGGAATGTAACAACGCTTAAGCAAAGTCAAAACATTTAGGATTGTGGGGTACCCGGCAGAGCTCTGAGTGTACCTCAGTTCACAGTTGTCAAATGTTGCAGTTCCCCCCCCCCCAAGAAGGAAATATTAAAAGGGCAGAATGTTATATTTCCTCAAAGGATCTTAAAGAGGCAGAAAAGCATACCCAGTTTTTCTTAATAGCCTCAAGTCTCCCTCCCCCAAGCAGAAACCAGCTCTGTAGAAATGCTGATGTAATAATCCATTCAGGAAGGTTGGAGCTCTCCAGCTAGAAGCTTAGGAAGACAAAGACACCTAAAATCTACATACCCCACCCTAACTCTAGGACAGGACATAATAGGATTAACCCACAGATGCCAAAGGGGCACACACAAATGCAGGTCAAAGTACATGACACAGGAAATACAAAGCCTCAAACAGGAACAGGAAACAACTCCAAACAAAAGCCCAAGAGGGTCTAAAAACCCACTCCCTACATGTGCTCTCTCTCTTTTCTTCCAGAGCCATCTTTCTGTCTGGCTCTCCTCTTCAATAATCTGCAACCTTCTTTCTAAAGCAGTCACCGTGTTGTTTATTCCCAGCTTGGACTGAACCCCTTTGAAGA